AATCAGTACTCCGTATGTTGATTAAAATTACCAACTCGTTAAAATAATAAATAGACAACAGATGATTTATTAAAAATGTCATATTAGCTCGTGACATGCCAATATCATGTAAGCCAGAGTCTCAAATTTTATAATAAAAGGAAGGATTAGCCAATAAATGTAATTAGCAATTAATTGAAAGTTTTTTATAATTAACATTTATAACCTTCTAATTATAATTACTTTACATATACCTCGTAAAAGTTTTTCATATGTGCAATAATTGGGAATGAATATTTGCTCTAATAAGATGTTTTCATACTTTGAGTTAAAATTGCCAATTCACTTAAGTCATCAAATGTGGCTGATGATGTTTTCCACTATACTCTTCACAAAATAACTTGTGTCTAGAATTAATAATTTATGCGGAATTTTAAGGTTAGTTGTTTCATCAATCACTTGTCTAAGTTTTTCATCTCTAACTTTAATTATCCAATCAGAAAAAATTTGTGTGTCCCTATCTGGGATAGAGGACGTAGAAGAATGTAATATCATATTCTTCGCTAACATATAACTTTTAAAATACGACCATAATTTTAAAGAATAGATGATAGCACTCACAATTTTCTCTCTTGAAGTTTTGGGTAAAACAGGAAGAGTTTGCCAAAAATCACCTCTGAGTACAACTATTTTCCCTTCGAGTCCTACTTTTTCCCCTCCGAATTTAACTATTTTCCCTCTAAATGGTTCATTTCTAGAGTTTTTATTAGAGAAATTCATTACATCTCTTATTTTGTGATCCAGCACCTTAAAAATAAATCTATTCATCATACATGCTCCATCCCATATTATTAGACTTACTTGTTGGATTAGTTCTGCTTTCGGACTCTCTTGTTTGATGGCACACGTTATGCAATCGCCCAAAGAGATTGAGAATCTCAAGTGTAATGTCATTCACCCATGTCCTTCCCCCATGAAAAAGTAATACTGTAATACAAATGGATGTGACATTCAAGACAATCCTTATCATTTGACATTAGAGAAATAAACACTGATTTCCATAAAAAAATATTTTTTCAGTTCCACTGTAACCATATATAAAAAAGAAACCTCCTCTTTCAGGTGTCACAACTTCCATTATCTCATCGTATATATTGTGCTGATAATCATTCATCGTAGATAAGTATCTCATAAGATCATATGCAAACTTTTATTTTTCACTTTTATAATGCAAAACCATTCAAGCCCTTGATAGTATTCTCGTCAATATACAAAATGTTTTATCAAAATACAAATAATTATAAATTTGAAATTATATTTCTCTTTGATGTGGTTGTAACTTGTAACTTAGTCTCGATCTTATTAGTCTCCATTCGGATTTAATATTTTCATTTGACTTTTTTTGGTCAAATTTTGTATACTTTAACCTTGTTATATAGAAAAAAGGAATCTCTTCATGTTTAGTAGCTAAATAATAAATTTTGGAGTTCCGATCAACAAAATTGGAAATCTGTTCTTGTAAGCTCCGCAAAGAATATGGAAAATAATATAATTCACCAAAAAATAATGCTATCAATTTCCTTTTTAAATAGATTACTAATGATGCCTTCCCTTAAACTTATCAAATGAAGTGTAAGTACATCATCAATTACACAATAGTTTTCACAATTTCACCTATCTACACTATAGAAGAAAAAAAGAAGGGTATGCAAAGAGGTTCCCAAGAAGTTGAAGGAAAGATGATGATTTTGTAAAATAAAAAAAGATATATAAGGTAATATAAGTGTAGAAGGAAACTTTTGGTAGTTACTACTCCATATATATTACTCTGTACATATTTCCTAAACAAAACTAAAAAAAATCAATCAAATAGAAGTAAGACATAAATCTTATGCCCAGAATAAGAGTTCAATATTTTTATTTCCTAAATAAAGTTTACACAGTGACGTTGTGGCACTGTATATTACCATTTCATAATGTTTTTAGCACTATATAATAAAATATTGGTATTGTTGTTAATATTTTGGAGATAAAAAATATGAAACTCATATTTTGGCACTTTCTCCATATTCTAATCTTATTTTAGTTTTTTTCCCAAATAATTATAGTGGCACTTCGTAATCCGTATAGATGGCGGATGATTTGTTAAAATGTTGCCATATAGACTCACCACTTATTGTAATTCTATGAGTTTAACTCTTAAATTTAATATATAAAGATAAAGATTGGCCTCGATCTATGAAAAAACAATTTTTGCTTATCTATAAATCCAATATCAATAATCTTTTTTAAAACGTTGGTTTGAAATATGAATTTTCATAAGATACGATAAGTATAAATATTTGTTATATCCGGGCATGCCCTGCCCAAACTCATGGATGTGCCACAAGTGTTCAAACAAATCAAGGGATTTATGGTTAAGTGTATAATCCTTATTGGGTTGATTTAAGTCCTTTCTTCCATTCAAGAACACCAACCAACACCCTTGTTGTTTTCAAACCCCCTTGGCCGCCCCAACCATGTCCAAATCCACCCTAAACATCCAAAATTCCTTGCCACTTAATTCCTTTCCAAGTAAAGTTTTCCCTACCCTTCTTATTTTAGCCCATGGCAAAAAATAAGGGTGTGTAAAATAAAACCTTTTATTTATTGTTATTTTCCTTCTTTTAAGCCTTTTATTAAACAAATAAAACCCTCCCTCTATTCCATTCACCTCTGGCCAAAATACACTTCACAATCCCAACATAAACACCCACAAAGAGCCAAAACCCTGACCCACCACTAGCCACTCATTTCCTGCCCATATTCCCTTACAATAACCCAAACTTATAAGTCCAAAACCACACATTATATCCCCCATCCCTGCCCCCTTTTATTAGCCAAAAACAACCCCCATTTTTACCTAAATAATAGCCACAAAAAAACCAGGAAACAACCACAAGGAACCAAAGCACAAAACCCCCACAAACCCCAGCCCCATCCCTGATTTTTAGTCCACCAAGGAGACAGGAATGAAGAAAGATTACCCCATGCTTTGGAGAAGGATGTTGCTAGGAAGTTTCCTAATGTCTACATTCAATGTATTGTGCATTATCTCCCCCTTCCCCTGCCTATATAACTCAGGCCTTATGGCCATTGTAACACAATCTTTTGAATATTATAAATCTTTTACTCTTTGAGTATTATTAAAATAGTGTGATGCTATTTTAGCCAAATTCCTAATTCTATATCTTAAGAGTGGTTATCTTAAGTGTGAGTTTTAGGTTCTAGATATTTGATTAAGTGTGTCATATCTTAATTAAATTCTAGATTCAAACCCCAAGTGAGGCTAAGAGTGTGTAATATCTCTTAAATACCAACTTGGTTTATCCATCATTACTTTCTCTTCCATTTCTCTTCCCACCATTTCTATCCTTAATCTCCTTTCTTTCCTTATATTAAAAATACCAAAAGAACTCCTTCATCATTCCCATATTAATCCCAGCCATTCCCCACACAAACACCACTATTGTCTGCCTAGATTTTGGATCCTGATTGCCTTGATAATCGATTATCACACATCAATAATCGTTTATCTAACCCTTCAGAACACTCCTGG